TCAGAGGCGGGAATAAAGAGCGGGCCGAGAATGGTCTTCCCCACGACTTCGACACCTCGGTGTGGAGGTCGGGGAAAAAAGGCAGGCTCCGGCGCGGAGGTGGTGGCTTAACACGCAGAAACCGCTCATCCAATTTGCTTTTCTGCGGCTCAGCCATCTTCTCGGCGGGCCATTCGATATTCAGTTTGGCCACGGCACGAGTTACCACCTCCAAAAGCTCCTCATACTGGGGCGACTGAGGGGGCGATTCCTCATCGATGCCCACCACATCAACCTCCTCGGAGGAAGACAGGCGGAGCGTCAAGCCCATTCCCCGGGGGGAAGTAACCGCAGAGCGGGCTTCCAATCCCAGAGAATGGGCGCTGGATGTGGCGGGTGAGGAAGAAGATAGGGACTCGCCCGTCTCCATTCCCTCCACCAGATCCATCTGCGAACACCACGAGCGTAATCGTCGCTCCGCCTCGACGGAAGCGGGACCAACGCTGCGGGGAACGCTAGAGAAGGCTCCCTCCGCAAAGAGAGCCTTCCGGGAGCGGAGAACATGCATCGAGAGATGCTCACAATGCGGGCAGTCAGCTCTCTCTCTCGAGAGAGAGCCGACTCAGCATGCTCCGCTCCCAGGTAGACAACGCACAAACTGTGTGTATCCCCACCCGTAATATAACGTGGGCAGGGAGGAACACACAGCCTGAAATGCTGCCTGCCCTCGCCCTTGCTTATGTGTTTCTTTAGGTCTTGTGCTTTTGACATTCTGGACAAAACAACATCAAATAAGACTCACAAATGGAAATCAGACTGACACACACATAGAGCGCTTGCTGAATGACAGAAAGCTGATGTCGGTTTCACCGCACGTGCTTTTATAGCTTCCTGGTCATTACGTCACCCGCCCGTGACGTCTCGCCCATCTATTGGACTGATTACACACGGGGTTCAGAGCCGGTCACGGCTCTCCATGCTGCTTCACTGAAGATACATGCCTATGTCTCCTTCGATTAAAAATAATGGTTAGTGTGGTGGATGCGATATACATAAACCTACCAACATCCATCACAATGACTTATCACAAGAGGAAAAAAATGTTTTATTATGACATTTATAAAATGTCGCAAAAGTTTTGTGCAAATCTGTAATGGAAAACAACTACTGTCTGCAATTTGTGGTTGCTATATTTGGAACCTGAGACTACTGGAACCAAATGATTGAACAGCTTTTATTCGGCATTCTGTTACCAATGCACATGGTGTCACGACTGCCTACGGAGAAGAAACGAGGAACGAGGAGAACGCAGGAGAACGCAGGAGAGTACCATCCACAGACTTTAATAATCCACAGAAAGGGGTTAATACAGGCAGGACACACACGGAGCACTTCCATGAAGATAATTAACACAATCAGAACAGGAACAGGAAGAACCAAATATGGGCAGATGAGGGAGAAAACACACACAAAACAGGTCCATAATCCTGACATATTGCCACCTCCCGGAAGGCGCGTCCTCGTGCCGTAGATACAATATGGGGAGGGACGGGTGGGAACTTGGGAGGAGGCTCAGGAGGAGGACGACACCCGGGAGGGGGACGACAGACAGAGTCCAGGGAGGTGACGATGGAGGAAGGGGCCAAGGAAGAAACAGGAGGAGCCAGGGCAGATCAGACGGAGGGAGGAGCCAGGGAGACGGCAGGAGGGACTTGGAGCAGGCGGCGTCAGGTGGGACCCAGGCCACAGCCGTAATGAGGACCCACGGTGAAGCCAACGGAGGGAGGAGCCATGGTGGAGGAAGGGCTGACGTCTCCAGAGGGCCGACCAAGCAGGAGGCGGAGGAACCCAAGTCGGAGACGGAGAGCCGATGAGCCAGGGTGACGGGGAGGATCCGGAGGGCCAAGGCGGAACAGATGGCTCAGGCGACCGATGCGGAGGCATGGATCCAGAAGGCCGCGGTGGAGCCGGAGTGACAGAAGGCCGAGGAGGAGCCGAAGGGAAGGAGGAGCCTGACGTAGCCGAAGGGACGAGGCGCAGCTGGAGGAGGGGAGTCCCGAGGTGACATGGGCCATGGCAGAGAGGAGGGAGCTAGGAGCCATGGTGGAGCCAACAGGTCACGGGCCGATGCGGAGTCCGGGATTCAGAGGCTGGAGGCGGAGGCCAGGGATTCTTCCGCCACGGTGACGATGGAGACTGGCAGACCCGCGGAGCTCGCACCGTACCAATGTTGGGCTGAGGGCGAGCAGAGGGGCTGTCAGACGACAGCGGTGGAGGATGCAGGAGCGGGAGGGTGGGCGGGCATTTCTGAGCCTCCGGGCTCTCAGGGCTGCCCTTGGGAACAGAAGCCCTCTCCAGGCTGGATTCAGGAACAGAAGCCCTCTCTGGGCTGGACGGGGGAACAGGGCTAAACTCAGGAACGGGAGGGACAGAGGTCACCGATGGAGGAGGGAGGAGAGGGGGCAGGTCGGTATACAAGTCGATAAGGTCTCCTTCTGCTTTCCATTCACCCAGATCCCTTCTCAGCTCACCCTCAGCCACGGTGCAGGGAGCGGAGCTCCTCTCCGCGTTCTCTCTGTCCACGGCTTTCTCCCTCGTGGCGGGCGTTGAAGCCGGCTTTCGCACCTGGTCTGATGATCCGTAAGGCTCTGGCTCCATGGCGATCCTCAGCTCTGCCGCACTCCTAAGTGATGGCTCGTCGGTCGCGACTGGCTCTGGCTCTCCATCAGTGGTGGGCTCAGGCTCTTGCTCCGCGCAGCGGGGTGATGGTGGGCTGGCCTCTGGGTCTGGCTGTGTTCTGGATCGGGGGTAGACACTTTCCAGACACCGGATGATTGCCTCCCTCACAGTGTCTGGGAGGTTGACGGGGCAGTAGTAATTGGCCCCAATCCAGAACAGGGAGTTCAATGCAGCGTCGTGAACTCCACAGTATACTCCAAGAAGGGAAGGTCTTTACGGGCAAGGGAAGGGGCGAGGGGATCCATGGGGAACATAACAGAAATAAAAAACACTGTACAAAACACGGAAAACAAACGAAGGGGAAAACACAAATAAAGTTACTGTATTAGGTCCGATGTTCTGTCACGACTGCCTACGGAGAGGAAACGAGGAACGAGGAGAACGCAGGAGAGTACCACCCACAGTCTTTAATAATCCACAGAAAGGGGTTAAATACAGGCAGGACACACACGTAGCACTTCCATGAAGACGTATAAGACCCGACAAGGAAACATGGGGCAGACTACACTCTAAATACTACACTAAACGAGGGAATGACAGGTGAGGGGAATCAACTAATAATGAGACAACGAGGACAGGAACAAGAATGACCAAATATGGGCACATGAGGGAGAAAACACACACAAAACAGGTCCATAATCCTGACACATGGAGCATTGTGCCAAAATACTCTGTACCACAATTCCTTATTCCCATCTCTTTTGGTCACCACAACTTTGTTGCATCGGAAGCAGTTTCTGATACCCATTTTACCCTAATTCACCAATTCCTATTGAAAACGAATGGTTTCCGGGCACTTTGATGCTGCAAATGTTAACGCTTCTTAGGTTTTCCAATATCCACATGGTGTTCTCTTGTGTACTTGAGTACTTTCCATAGTTTAATGAAATCACTGAACCATGACTGTAATTGTGTTTCTTTGAGTTATTTGCATATGTGAGTGCGTGCAAGACTATTTTCTCACCTCCTCCGCAGTCTTTTTCCTCCTCTTCAATGCTGCTTTTGATAGTATCATACTCCTCGTCAATGTTCTCGTTGCCACGGATTTGGCTGAGTACGCGCCGGGCCTTCTGGGTAAGACCTTTCTGGATGAGCCAGCGAGGACTCTCGGGTAGGAAAAGGAACCCTAGGAACTGCAGCAATGCAGGGACCACTGCCAGACCCAGCATATATCTAAACAGATGAAAAAGAAACAATATTGGAAGAGAAATTCGAGAAACTGAAGGGAAAAAAATCATTGTTCTTAAATAAGAATACATATACATCCTCAGCTGGTGCCTACGCTTTGTTGCTAGTTTATTTTTGAGTCTTCAACTGATTTGAACAAAACATGATGTTAATGGTAAAATGGTATGAATTAAATAAAAGTTTTTATAATGATCCCAAATTCTGAATCTTTTGCCGAAATAAACTGAATTTGATTACGTTAAAGATAATCAAATGATCTGAATTTATTTTTTATTCAGTTGACGAGATTACAGTGCAAATTTTCTATTTCCACTGAAACAATTTGTTTGCTTGTTTTCCACACTCTCATCTTGTATGGGGTTAATAAGATGGGGTTGCATGAATCAAACTAAATTTAGTAAGAATTACAATAAAAATTTCAATGTAAATACACTTTGTTTACTACATTTTTTACAATCTTTACTTTGATTCTAAAGTGAATGTATGGTGTTTAATAAAGTTTACATACATATATCAGATCAGATTTACCAGAAGAAGATGCCAGTAAAGTCAATCCATCATAACGAGTCAGCATAACAAGTCGTAATAACTCATACAGGTAACAAAATCATAAAAACTTAGTTGGGTCATACTAAACCTAGCCATACAATCTAAAAATTAAACCTAATGATTTTAATAAAATATATAAATAAAACAAATCATATTTAAATCATTATTTGCTATGGATTATTGAGTTGTGGTCATGACAGTTTGTTGGTTAAGCAGTAAACCTTTCATTTACATAGATCGATTTGTGGTTTTGCTGCTTGGGTAGATAAAAGTAGATGGCAACATTTCCATCAAGTAGATATTATCTTTTTAACATTTTCGCTCCCAGAGCAACAGCTGCATAAAGTGAGGGAGGTATTTTACAGCTGGTTTAATGTTTATTTTGTATTGTTCTGAAGGTTTATTTTGACAGGCTATAGAGATTGAGAATGATGCAATTTACAAAATCTGCCCTACAGGACGATTCTTTCCAGTAGGCCTGACGTTCACATAACACAGAGGTAGACAATTCCACACAGTGAATACATTCTCTCATCACATTTAATTCAGACTGCAAGCTCGCATCTCATTCACTGCTTATACCATGGCGCCATAGATTATGAACATCATGAAAATCATTCAGTTTTACTAATTCCGGTCACTGCAGTCACCCGGATCCAGTACGTATTCAGACCAGATGCTGGATCAGCACCTAGAAAGGACCTCTACTTATCACATTCGGTTCAGATTGCAAACTTGCATCTCATTTACTGCTTTTGCCATGTATATATATTGTTCCACATTTGACACCACAGCAAAGAAATAAGAACAATTCTAGATTCCGTGCAAATTCTGCAACTGAACCACTCATAAAAATATTGCCAAAAAACCTTGATTTGATGGTCATACCTCCAGCCTTCATGCTGCATGTAGCTGAAGGCCCCATCAATAACGCTGGCTGTGAATTGGCCTGCTGTGATGAACAGAGTGTTGATGGTGACCAGGCGTCCTCTCAGGTGGGGCGGTGAGGTTTCAGCAATGTACACAGGAACAGTCATGGATGCAATACCTGAAAGCGTAGATATATAGCAGTCAAAACTACACTCTGGTTAGAAAGTGTAATGCCAAAAGGCACACAAGTACCTTAAAGGAACAAGTCACTCAAAAATGAAAATTCTACCCTTTACTCAAACTCTTGTTCCAAACCCGTATAACGTTCTTTCTTCAGTGGAACACAAAATGGGAAATACATAAGAATGTACTATCTGCTCTTCTCCATAATGTAAATGAATGGGGACTAGGGCTCCAAAATGACATAAAAGCACCATAAACATTTCATAAAAGAATCATGAAGTATCCAGTATGATTTTACATTATAAGTTGGTATTTAATGTGTTTTTTTACAATTTTGGAGGTTGACAGTCCAAGCTCCATTCACTTTCATTATATTCAGTATAATCTTAAACTATTCTCATGTTGTTCCACACAATACTACTACTACTACTAATAATACATATCTGTAACAACATATAGGTCATTATGACAATGATGAACTTCTTGATTTTAATGAAAGTAAGTTTAATGTTATATGTAAATGAGCAAACATGCATGCTTGAGTCTAAATTTAATACTGCATTCATGCACCACATAATAAATTTCCCGAACACTGAAAGCTTTATTACACTGACATTGTCTCTCAGATCTACAAAAGACCTCATCTTGTGGGCTTTGTCAAAGGGTTACACACAAGAATATGTGACATGCATAGTGAACATGCTTTGTGTACCAGTGTTCCCTGCCAATCACATGACTCTCAAGAGAACTATGATGATCTAGCCAGGCCACATCCTTCTCATTTCCACCAATTACATCACAGATGTGTCACATTATGCAAATTTTCAACAAGCAAGTGATTTCTGGAATCACAAGGACACCATAAAATGTGAATTTGCTTCCAACAGATTGGGATGGGGAGGAAATTGTAATGTGGTGTGACGGGACCAATGTTCACATGATATTTACACAGGAGAGCAAACAAAAAGTCCATGCCCACATTTATCTGCCAAAGATCTACGACATAACCGCTCGCTATAAAGTCTATTAATAGCCCTGGTTCACTGTCGCTCTCGTTGCCCGGCAGACAACGTACCTGTTGCCATGGGAACGCCTCACTGCTTGCCTCACAAAGAGGTTAATCAATACTGTGAGACGACAGCTGTTATTGGCATTTCATTTACATTTTGAAAGACAGTGATTTCACATGAGCAAAGGATGTATTCTCCTCAGTGATGCAGGTTATCCAACAATGCCATTCACAGACAATCCTTATTTATACAAGTGGGAAGACCACTATTATGTCACATGGAAGGATCATTCAAAATGACAAAGATGTCTGTGTGGAGCATGATATGATATCTGTCTGTACATGCTTAAAACATGCCACCTCAGTTTTCATACGTGGACAAAACATCAAAACGTTCACCTATCCAATGAAACCACAAATCTCCCAGTTGTCTCGAAGGGTCTGTTTCAAAATCTAGTGAGCTGTTTTTCTTCCTACTGTCTATGGATGCATCCTAACCAACCCAGGCTTATTGGAAAAATGTGCTTCTATTTACATTTTTGTCCAAAAACGTACCTATACATACATTTCACTTCAGTTTCCAGCTGAAATGAACACTAGTGGCAATAAAATACCAACTACTTTTATTCCTGTTCACACAAATTATGATTACAGAATCATATTATCAATTTTTGCATCAAATAATCAGCCATATACAGTAATTTGCCCAAAACCAGGGCATATTTTATGGACTTCACCAAATACATTAGTAGGTGTCTATTTTAGCCAAAATCTTACTCAGAATCACATGTATAATTTGAGATTAAAGCCTTCTACACACTGCACAGTTTTAGCAATACTAAAAGATCATTGCAGATCACACTGTGCGACGTGGATCTAATAAACTTGGGTACGGCATGCATGCAGACTGTACGATGATGATATTGACTCGTATGCTACAGACGCACGTTACTAAAGAAGAATAAACCGTCATCAGCATGCGCTAGTGGTAAACAAAAAGAGCATGATGAATCACACTTTGGCAGTTGTAGGTTTTATGTGTGCTGAAAAAAATTGGAAGCAGCGAAAGAGGACGGGATAAGAGGTAAGCAGTTTTATGTTTTAGCGCCATGCCGCATTGATTTCATGTATTATTTTTATTGGCTGGTCAGTAAACGTGGGTCATAGCAGCAAACGCACTGTGCGATGATCATGCTGTAATTCTGATACTGTCAGAAAACTATCGTAGCTATCTTTGGTTGCAAGACCATGGCAACGGTCGTCTTTGAACCTCTCTCACTGTATGTCACAGGAGCACCGATTAGGAGCCACGATTGTTTCACGATGCCAATCTTTCGTCTGGGACAGCCAAAAATCATGCAGTGTGTCTTAGGCTTAAAACAATCTCCAAAAGGTTTCTTCTAATATGGCTGACAGTTTTCAAACAAATTAGATCAATACTAAACACTATTGCTAAAAATGGTTCTTATTAAAATTAACCATTTTCATAAAATATGTGTATCTGTTTTTGAGCATTTGGTTAGCTTAGCAGCTAACTCTATAAGCAACTGTGAGCCTGGGGAGAGTTATTATTGTGCTGCTGGTAACAAGGTTTCTATGCTGAAGTAGAACAGTCACTTATGAGGTTTTGTCTTGTTTAGGAAGCTGCTTCAGAAGGTAGATACGTATATAGACAGCGAGGCAGCTCACTAGGCTTTGAAAAGTCAATATGTATGTACCGAAAACACAAACAAATGAATCGCAGTTTACAAGGATATTGATGTTGCATGAGAGATACTGTGTGTTGAGTGTTATATTTCAACATTAATGGCCATCAGTAAATCTGCTTAAAAGCGCTAGGGAATACTTAGCAAGTATCAATTCACTGATATCAGTATACAAGATAAGAATACATCACAATATCAATACTGCAGCTCAGCACGTAACAGTCAGTCGGAGGAAGTGGCGGTTGTCTATGTTGTTGTGGTGTTTTGTGTATGTCTGCTAAATAAACTGTAGTTGCTTTTGCTTAGGTTTACTGTTCTTCAGCTGCAAAACTAGAGCGGACTACTCATTAGTGTGAGACTCCCAACTGAAGCTGTAGCTGTCCTCTATTATTAGAGACAGTGTTTTAAAGGAAAAACACATCCACTTCATTCAGCAGACTACCCCAGACACTCAACGTGAGAGGTCATCGCTCTAATGGCCTTTTGCTCCACAAGGATAGTGGAGTCATGGAGACAGCAGACGATTGCCAGAATAGCTTAGCTTCTTCTCCGATCACACCAGACCAACTGAACTGTTACTTTACACCATCTGTGATTAGCACGAGGCTCTGTGCCCGGTTTGAAGGAACGTTAAGGTGAGGAATTGCCCAAATCCCTTGAGATGGGGTTTCCAAACACTGCATTAATGGCTTGACTCACATAACAAAAAAACATACAGTATACCCATATATATATATATGTGCACATTCACTGGCATCAGAAAATCACAAACGTGGAGGTGCAAAGACGAGTTGGAAACACGAGGAACATCGTACAACTCATCATGGAGAGGAAGCTCAGCCTGTTTGGACATATCTGCAGGATGGAGGACAAGCGACTGGTGAAGTGTGTGGTGTTTGGGATCATGGATGGACGGACACGGAGAGGAAGACGAGTAGGGAGTGGTTGGATGACATCAAAGAATGGTATCAGAGGGACATCCACTCTCTTAGCAGGAGGGCACAGGACCGTGCACAGTGGAAATGGAGCGTCAGACGGGCATTGGACACCAACGGGCGTGAGCCCATGGAATGATGGATGGGATGGATGGATTTTGCTGTCTTAATTATGCTAAATAAAGATAATGGGCTGAGGAAAAGGTCATTATTTTGATGGTTTAACTGATCCTGGTTTTGCCCTCTGCTGGTTTTGTGTTTTTGCAAAGGTCAGTGTGGAAGTAATTGGGCTCAATCGCTTAAACCAGAAGTCAGTGGTCAATTATCAGATCAGTGACCTTTCAAGAAAGTTACAAGACAATTTATTCCTAAAAAGAATTTGAAAATAGACTTGAAATGGAAAAAATACATTACATGTTCATATTTCCTGAAGAAAGTATACATGGTTATTGACTACTACGCAAAAAAAAAAAAAAAAATGATTGGCTTTAAAAGTAATAGTGCAAAAATCTTCAATTATGGTCCAGAGTGTAATGGGTCAAATGGTGACTCTCTGGATTTAAGCAATCAAGAAGGAGTTAGTCAGCCAGACAATATAAGGATTGAGAAAACACCAATCTTCCCTAATGACAGTGCATAATCCTAGACAATAAGCATCAGGCCAAATTGCTCTTTCCAAATGCTCACTGGATATTCAGCTGATTCTTGGAAGCTCCATAAATACATTAATGAGAAATACCACTTGAGCTACTGGAGCTCTGTCAGTCTTACCACCCAATCAAATCATGTGAATCCTTCTGACTCTGTACTAATTGCCTGTGTTAAAAATAGGTCTGAATTTTCAATGAAGCGCTGCATGAAATTTTATCAAAGCCTGTGATCTTACACTATGACTCACTTGGGTTCCTTTAAGCAAAGCAATTAAAAAGACTGTCTACAATCCTTTAGGAAAATCAACCACATTGAACATACATGAAATAACCTAACTGTTTGCATTTATTGAAACATTACATAAAAGGCCAAAAAGTTCAAAAAGACCAAGAAAGCTTCTGTCCTGCAGATTTCCCAGAGTTCCCAACTCCAGCACAGCTGAACCAGCTAAGAAAGGACTGCTTTAGAAAGCCGAAAGTTTAGGCTGCTGACTTCTTGCCTCGCTGCCTTATCAGGCAATGACTTTGCAGGTAGCATTTGCACACAAATGCACCTCAAGAAACTGATTTCAGACAGACTTCTGAGGCAGAGTAACAATTTAATAATCTACAACAAATAGAGTGAGCTTTGGTGAAAACTGAGCAAATATTTAATTACTATAATAGTAGTGGAAAAAGTTGGTCAAAAACACAAACTGAACACCAATTGCAACTTTCAGAAGCATCTTTATTTTTTAGCTCAACTGACAAAGAATGGAACACATAGGACTAATATCCATTCAGATATCAAAGGCAGTGAAGGATACATCTATGCTGCCTATAAAAATCTAATTCAGATCTTCAGCTTGTCAATAGAGAACTTAATGAACAGAACTGAGTGTGTCAGATAAGAGAGATATACAAAATGGGCAGAGCTGTGGTCCCCAGGACCAATATTAAGAACCACTGGACTAACCTAATGACTAATTAAAATATACAAACCTGTCAGGTCTGTATTCTTTACTTTAGTTATCTCCTAGATGAACAATAAAAAAGTACATTCAGTCAGTGCATCTATTCACATCTGTTCAGATAATTAGTTATAATCAGTTATTTTGATTGATTTTTGATATTTGAATTGGTGTATTTGGCTTCTGCAAAGCCCAGTGTGACCACAATAAAATAGATTAAAAACTAAAAACTGTCTCATAGCATCTAAAGGGTTACTCCACCCCAAAATGAAAACTTTGTCATTAATCACTTACCCCCATGTCATTCCAAACCCGTAAAAGCTTCGTTCGTCTTCGGAACACAATTTAAGATATTTTGGATGAAAACCGGGAGGCTTGTGACTGTCCCATTGACTGCCAAGTAAATTACACTGTCAAGGTCCAGAAAAGTATGAAAGACATCGTCAGAATAGTCCATCTGCCATCAGTGGTTCAACTGTAACGTTATGAAGTGACGAGAATACTTTTTGTACGCGAAGAAAACAAAAATAACGACTTTTTTCCAACAATTTGTCTCCTCTGTGTCTCTCCGCATCACCGTAGCGCCATTTTGGAGAATATCTGCTGAACGCAAACTGCGTACGCTCTTCTGTGTCAGAAGTGCTGTTTTCGTTCAAATCAAATCGTAAATACACATAGAAAATGTATCCTTGTGTTGCGGCTGACACAGAATAGCATACGCAGTTTGCGTTCAGCAGATATTCTCCAAAATGATGCTACGGTGACACAGAGACAAATTGTTGAAAAAAACGTTATTTTTGTTTTCTTCGCGTACAAAAAGTATTCTCGTCGCTTCATAACGTTACAGTTGAACCACTGATGGCAGATGGACTATTCTGACGATGTCTTTCATACTTTTCTGGATTTTGACAGTGTGGACAGTCACAAGCCTCCCGGTTTTCATCCAAAATATCTTAAATTGTGTTCTGAAGACAAACGAAGCTTTTACGGGTTTGGAATGACATGGGGGTAAGTGATTAATGACAAAATTTTCATTTTGGGGTGGAGTATCCCTTTAAGTGTTTCCTGGATGCAGATGGGTCCTGTTGGGTCTGCTGGTCTAGTCTTCTGTCTTGAAGACAATTACACAAGAAATGCGAAAGAAGCCCAAATGCTGAGACGTTATTTCAAACAGACAAGAGAACAAAAGGTATCCCAAAAAAGGTCACTACAACAAGGTAGCAAGACAGCACAAAGATGAAAATCAAACAGAAATAACTCCAATAGAGTAGCAAGGAAGATCACAGTAATGCAGTGAGTCTACAATATCTCTGATGAGAATAGACCAAGAGAAGATGGCATGTTTATATGTATAAAGCCCTAAACACACTGCACGATTTTCGGCTGTCCCAGACGAAAGATTGGCATCGTGAAACAATCATGGCGATTTTTGTGATCGTGGCTCCTAATCGGTGATCTTATGTCGTACAGTGAGAGAGGTTCAAAGACGGCCGTTGTCACAGTCTTGCGACCAAAGATAGCCTACGAGGCAGCATGATCATCGCACAGTGTGTTTGCTGCTACGATCCACGTTTACTGACCCACAAATAAAAATGCGACATAAAATCAACGCGCCATCATGCTAAAACATAAAACTGCTTACCTCAAGCACTTATCCCTTCCTCTTTCACTGCTTCAACTTTTTTTCCAGCACACATAAAAAATACAACTGCTAAAGTGTGATTTATCATGCTCTTTTTGTTTACTACTAGCGCATGGTGATGACGTTTTATTATTCTATAGGAACGTGCGTCGTAGCATACGAGTCAACAGGTGTCATCATCGTACAGTCTACACACACACTGTAGCTAGGGATGGCTGACGCGAAACTGACGTTTTGACACAGTGTCGAGATCCCGAAGCGCAGATGTTTCGAAACACTGCTCCAACGTGTGATTCGAAACACCCATGTCACGTGACTAAGGCGATTCAAAGCATCGGGGCGTTTCACAAGTGTTTCGAGACCCGAATCTGCTTTTGATCGACAGGGTCAGGAACAAACCACACAATCGCACATCTGTCTTAACCTAACTCCCGCAAAGTATAAAAGTGGAGTTAATGCAGCAGAACAATTAATATATTTAAATAAAAATCTTTATATGTAAAAAATGCCAGTGGCTTGATGTCTTTTATTAATGTTAATTATTTCATGACCAAAATAACATATTCACAAAGAGTTCATTCAGTTGTCAGAGAGATGTTACAACACGTTACAAGAACAGAACAATAAAAACACAACTTTCAAATATTTATTATAATTGTATACATGCTTCATCCGGTATTCGAACCTAAAGTGACAGCTTCTGAAAACATACCGATCGTACACACTAACCACTCTCCCAACCCACATGCTGGAATAATGAGCACAACATATAGGTTATAATTCGTCAATTCGCTTAACTGATTCGTTGCCAATGCTGTTTCAGGGCAATACTTGAAAATGACCACTAGGTGTCACCGTAGAGACGGGTGTCAAATTGTTTCGAAGCCTCGGCACATTTGCTTCGACTGTTTCAGTGTTTCCCGAAGCCTCGCTCTGCCCACCATTTGTAGTAGCAAAGTTTATTAGATCCATGTCGCACAATGTGACATGCAGTGATCTTATAGGATTGCTAAAATCGTGCAGTGTGTTTTGGGCTTAAGTTGCATGTGTGTGTATGCTGATTGGTAAATGGAGAACAGGTGTGAGTGCAAACGAGATTCAGTGGTCCGAGAAATTGGAGCAGAGGGTGTCTGGAGAAGGAGAAGCCAATGAAGGCTTGACAAATAATAATCTAAACAGAGTTAAGTAAATATAAGCAATTTGTATAAATATTATTTTATAAATGTTTAAAAAATAAAACTATTCCGCAGTTTTGGAACAATTTCAATGCAAAAAAAATATATAATTTTGCTCTTACTAAACTTTTTTTTTTTTTAACAAGTTAGTTATTGAACTTACTAAGCAGACAAAAGTCTCGGTCAAGAACATCCTTGATAAAATATAAGATGTAAATATAAATGATGTTTGAAAATGATAAATATAGATAAGTATACATTTTAAATAAAATTATTCAAATTAATTAACCAATTGAAATCTAGAAAAAAAAACTGGGTTGAAATTGCCCAACTATATTGAAAAGATACAGTTTGAAATGAAGGAAAGGAGGAAAGGGAAAGCTACCAAAGTCGTGCTCATTTTCAAAACAATGATGCAGATATTCAAAAAATAATAAAAAGGAAAGCAGCATCTGTTTCAGTTTATTTAAAAAAGGTAACTTTATAAAGTGCTTCATATGGTTTTATTCAAGTCTAAAATGTTATTTTCTAATACTAAATTAACCTGACTACATATGTTTACATAAATTGTGTGTGTGTGTGTGTGTGTGTGTGTGTGTGTGTGTGTGTATGCCAAAATGTTCAGTATCACCATGTAGGCTATTATGGTATTAGTAACTCTAAATTGCACTTTTTTCCCCATTTCTAGACTTAAAATAGTAACCTTAAATTCCTATGGTAACATCTACAGCAATTTAATTGGTTTTATTCAAATCATGTTACCAAAAATTTTATTAAACATAATTGAATCATTCTAAATAGCCTATGTTAGGTTAGACCAACAATATTTAAGGGTAAGATCAGGTAGAAATAGTCTAACTCTTTAAGATAACTTTTTACAGTAAAGTGATATTTTACCATAACATTATTTATAAATCTGCATGATGTATAATCATTTGTATATTTTATGTTTATAAATTGCTTAAATCGATTAAAACTCAAAGACAATTCAATAGGGCAAGACCCCAAACAACCTCAAGTTTACTATAGTAACTTTTCTGATGCCAACACTGAATGAATTATAGCATCGGTCAGGCGTGTCTCACTCACCCAGCCCAAGTCCCACTATGAGCCGTCCAACCAGCAGAGCCTCCTTATTGGGTGCAGATCCCAACACTATCGCCCCAATGGCGAAGGTGAAGCTGGCCGTGAGGATGCACACCCGCCGCCCGAACAGTCCGTTGAGATACGCGCCGAGCAGCGCGGAGACCGCCGCCGCGGCAACAGTCCCGGACACCAGCAGCTCCTGCCACAGGGCAGTTACATTCATGTCCCTCTTGAGCAAAAGCATCGCTCCGGACACCACCCCGGTGTCATATCCGAACAGAAAGCCGCCGATAGCGGAGAACACGGCCAAGACGTAGACGAAACCCGGCGTGACATCCTGCTGGAACTGTTTGCGCGCCGCACGCTCCAGGTCCGCCGGCGCGGGGGACGCTGCTGAGGGACCGGCGCTGCTGAGGCTGGCGCTGGACGGAGCCTTGATGAGACTCCGCTCTCCGTCATCCGACGCTCGCTTCCTCCTCTCGCCCATCAGATTGCTCATACTACGCAGATTATAGTCATCGCTGGATTTGCGGGACATAAGTGAAAAGCCGCAAGAATAAATGTGCACAGTGAGTCAAAGAGGGTGAACTGGAGAAGTGGGCTGATGTGAGTCTAGCTTGGTGTGCTGTTGTGTTGTTGATGTGGTTTTATGAATGGTCTGTATGGTCTGACTCCTCTCAAGTTGTGTCAGGGCTCTGTGCTTGAAGTCTGGAGCATCAGACAGTGATGAGCGTGAAGGCAAAGGTAGAACTCGGCGTCATCGTGACGTGGGCATGGCGTCAAAGAACCACACATCAACACACATGTGCAGAGAAATACATCTATTGGACAAATAGCTTCTTCTTCCTCTTAATCTCACAACACTGTAAAAACATTTTTATGTGAAATTATTTTTATATGAAAATTATTGCATATATCTAGGCTACTCTTTTATAGTGAATGTTAAAATGACACTTTATTTATTTATTTAAGCCCTCCATGATAGACAACAAGCCAGATAGCATTATGCAAATGTCTCACACAGAAGGACTAATTCACATTATTAATTAACTTTAAGTTTGATTAAAGTCGAATTGTTTAATTAACTTGAACTTTAAGCATATATAATTATTAAAAATGATAACTAATAATAAAATACTAATAATTTCAACATTTTAAAGCATTAAAACCACCAAATATGACTATATTCCCTACATCCCCAGGATTTCATTTTCCTAATGATGTTCCTGTTTTTTGGTGTCACTTTGATTAACATTGAAAAATAAACATTAAAAACCAAAAATACAATAAAATAAAAATGGCCTAATATGTGGCCTATAAACAATTGATATTATGGGGGAGGGGTCAAGCAACACAAGCAAGCAACGCACAAACTGTGCGCAAGAGTTATGCTGGTGAACGTCAGTCAATTCACTATAGAGAAAGTGAAAGTAAAAAAACTGACGGTGTCAGGGTTCTGGACTGTCTGTGTGTGTTTTGCTCCCCGTGACCCAGTTTCTCCTCGTGTTAATTGTGTTAATTTGATTCCAACTGTGTCTATTTTGTCCCTCGTTATCCAGTCCTTATAAGCCCCAGTCTGTTCAGTTTGTATTTGTTGGGTCTATCAGTGATGTACGTGTGTTTACCTCCTGTTCCCTGTCTTGGATTTACCCTCTGTGTTGGAAACTATTAAAGACTCTTTCTATTATCCACGACTCCGTGTTCCTTCCGGCAGCGTAACATGACAGACGGAGCTTTCTAACCCTGCATTAACGGCGCATATTCTCTGAGACAACAAGAGACAAAACTACTTCAACATAGGCTAATGACGGTATATAACTGTCTTAAATTATTCCCTTAATATTTCTCTTGTGGCCCATATAGTGAAAAACATGGACCTAAAAATGCAAGCCCTGGAAATACAAGGCATTAAAATGCAAGCACTGTTAATGCAATGCATTATTTTTTCAATTAGTGCTATTCAACATGCTTTTTTGTTTCAAAGACATATGGTATTATTTTTCTTCCATAAGTAAGCTAATAGCCTAAACTTTAATTATCCTCACAGCGCGTCATGCGGTGATGCGCTATGAAATTATTGCGGGGCAATAATTTAATGTAATTTAATAATAAAAGTAACCTAATAATAATAATAGGCCTAATAATAATAAGAATGTAGCAGGGCTACATTAATTGGAAATGCTAAATCCTCTTAATATTGCCAATTTTTGATGCTTTGTTTTGACAATATCTCTGGCTGTCGTCGACATACATAATATGACGCATCTCAGCAGGGGGAGGTTATCGTGGCCCACCCCCACCCCGCGTGTACCTCCGTGTGTTCCCTCCATTTTTGTTTCCGTTTTTCCTTAGTGTTTTTTGTTTTTGTTGTTTCTATGGATCCCCTCTCCCGTCCGGAATACCGCTCGAGGGCCATACCAGACTGTTCCTGGTCATCGCTGCTCTAACCAGCTACCCTGTCGTCCAAAGATGGTCCTCGAGCGAATTTCACCGCCTTTGTGGAGTGGACACTGGTGAAAAATGGATCTCCGTTCCCCGCCTGTTCCCAGGAAAATCTCGCCAGTTCCACTCCCGACACAGTGCCCAGCCCACCATCTCCCCGATGCGCAGAGCGCACGCCCGAGCCCACCGCTAACGGAGAGCTGGAGCCCGGCGCGACCGACGAGCCATCGCCGCACGGAGCGACAGTGCTGAGGATTGCCGCGGAGCTGGAGCTGCAAATGACATCAGTCAAGGTGTGTGAGCCGGCAACAATGCCTGCCACGAGGGAGAAAGCCGCAGACGGTGTGAGCGCAGAGAGGAGCTCTGCCCCCTGCACCGCGGCTGAGGGTGAGCTGTGTATGGTGCGGCGACTGTGCCACACCGAAGAGGAGAAGGCTCCCATTCCTAAGTTCTGACCTGAAAGCTCGGAGGCTCACAAATAGCCACCCTCCCACCCGCTCCTGCTTCCTCCTCAGCTGTCATCTGGCAGCCCCTCTGCTCTCCCTCAGCCCACCATCTATGCGGTGCGAGCGCCGCGGGACTGCCATCCTCCAGTGTCGCCGTGGCTGGAGTTTCCCTTGACTCCGCCTCCAGCCTCTAAGCCCCGGACTCCGCCTCGGCCCGTGGACCCGTTGGCTCCACCATGGCTCCTAGCTCCCTCCTCTCCGCCGTGGCCCGGCAGTCCACTAGATTCGCCGGGCTCCCTCGTCCCTCCGGCTCCGCCTTGGTCTGGCATCGACCATCCTGCGCCTCAGGACTCCACTCCTCTCAGCTCCGGCTCCACCGCGGCCTCCCGGAACCATGCCTTCGCGTCGGTCGCCGGCACCATCTGCTCCGCCTAGGACCTCCGGATCCTCCCCGTCGCCCTGGCTCATTGGCTCTCCGTCTCCACCTCGAGCACCTCCACCACCTGCTCCGCTGCCATTGGTCGGCCCCCTGGAGTTGGCGGCCATTCCTCCTCCATGGCTCCTCCCTCCGTCGGCTCCACCGTGGGTCGCCATCATGGCTGTGGCCCGGGTCCTGCTTGGCTTCTCCTGCTCCAAGTTCTTCCTGTTTCCTCCCTGGCTCCTCCCTCCTTCGTCACCTCCCTGGTCTCTGTCTGCCGGCCCCTTCCCGGGTGTCCGTCCTCCTCCTGAGCCTCCTCCCAAACTCCCACCCATGCCTCCCTCTGTTGTTGTTACGGTGTGAGGACGCACCTTCCGAGAGGGGCGATATGTCAGACTTGCTCCCCCGGGGGTCGACATCATGGCTGTGGCCTGGGTCCTGCTGGACTCCTCCTGCTCCAAGCCCCGCCTGTCTCCTCCCTGGATCCTCCCTCCGTCGTCACCTCCCTGGTCTCTGTCTGCCGGCCCCTTCCCGGGTGTCCGTCCTCCTCCTGAGCCGCCTCCCAAGTTCCCAATCGTGCCCCCCCCCCCTCCCTCTGTTCTACGGCACGAGGACACGCCTTCCGGGAGGGGGGCGAAATGTCAGGATCATGGACCTGTTTTGTTATTTTTTGCCCGTTTTTGTTCCTGTGTTCACTTTTATTTTGGTTATTTTCCTGTCCTCGTTTAGTTAATTAGTCATTCTGTGCACATGTGTTAAGTAATTGTCCCTTGTATTTAAGTTCCTGTTTGTTCAGTCTTCCTTTGTCGGGTCTTCTTGTTGTTAATGTCTTCCTTGGGCTCTGTATCTCCCTGTTGGATTATTAAAGACTCTCGTTTTGTGAAATCTCCACGTCTCCTCGTTCCTCCCGTAAGCTAAGTGTGACACTTGGCAAATGACCATGAAATAAATGGGATAATCAATCATTAAAGGATTTTAAATGCATGATGTGGAGGCCAAGAACCACCCGACGCAAAGAGGAATGCATTTAAAATCCTTACATATATATAATACAACAATTACTGAGTTGTTTTCCACATCATTGGGTATATGAGAAAGTAATTTATAATTTATGTTGAAGAAGTAACTTCTTTATGAGTGTTTTATTATTTTTTTAGTTCAGACCAAAGTAATGTTCTCCAGTCTCTTTTTTTGTCTACCCTATTATTATTTGGTCCATCCTGTAATAATACAATATCCAAAAGGCATCAAATATCAGGAATGACCCATACGACATTAATTGTCATTAAGAACCTGTCAGTCATTCTATTGCAGTTTAATTATGTTTCATTTTGAAAATGACCTGACCATTGATTGAATAACCTTTTAAATCTTCCACAGCAAATTATAAACTTATAAATGTTAAACTTTGAAATTATGTTACAAGCTGCTTGTTTGGACATTAATTAAAAAAAAAAAAATTATTGCAGTGTCTACTTGAAAAGCAAAACATTTCTGATAGAGGTTAAAGGGTTTTGGTTAACTCATTTGACTGTCTTTCTCATTGTTCACATTTCATGCTTTGATAATGGTTCTTGGAGCCTGAATAATTAAATTAACTTAATGCATGAAATGAAATAAGAATGCATTAGCTGTTAAATTCAGTTCAGTCTTACTGGAAATAAACAAAATCCATTTTGTATCTCCTTTTCTTTCTTTCTTTTTTTTTTTTGGCTAGCATGTTTTATAGACTCAAATGTAAAATCAAATTGAACTTCTGCTGCACATACAGGATAAATAAGAATTACTGTTATCCCCAGACATTTATGTTTCCACAGCTCTGTGAACAGCTGGGTCTGCCTGCACTAAGCATGATAATTCTACAGTAGGCTGTAATGGTGCATCTTAGTTCCCATGGGAAAATAGTATTGATCAGAGTTTGTTCTTTAATAGCTCACAAGATAAGTTCACAATTATGTCTCATTTAAGTCTCCTTAAACACAAACAGGCACAAATCTATATGTAATAGAGACTATTCTTAACATACAGTACATTAAAAAACTGAGCACAGAATGAAACTATTTTGCAAACTCTTCTGACACCAGAGGAAGCACATGAGATATTTTTTTTTTCCTGGAGGAAAATCAAGCAAATGACTTCAGCAAAAGTCTCCATTTGATCAATTATTTTATCTGTTTTTAGGAGAAACAGTTAGATATTAAATAGGTTTGTCTTATTTATCCACCAACAAGTTTGGCAACAAAACAATAATAATTACATCATAAATATGGACTAAATATACAGACTTCCCCCTACTATTTAGATTTTTTTACTCAACTGATCTCAACTAAAGAATTAACATCAAATCAGAATTTAATCTTGCTAGCCCAGCATCACAAAATGACC